TCTTGGCCACACATCCCTATGGTCAGATACCCCAGATCTTGCCATCACCACTTCCAAATCGGGCTCCATTACCCTACTCCTCACTCATCCCCGGGGGGCCACTTACTCAGGCACCCCAACAACTCTAAGACATCCGACTTACCGTATTTTCTCACCTAACCTCAAACTCTCTCCTTCACATCCCTCTACGATCTGGCTTAAAGTAAGTGGTCCTCAGGGGCAACCACTTGTGGCAGCTACATCATCTCCTGTCAACTTGCAAAGGGGTGGAGTTCAGCCTGTCAATCAGGTGACAGCTTGATTGCCTCATGTGGAGGGGCTATGGAGATAAATAGCTCACTGGAGACCAAACCTACTCTCTCTGCTTTGTCTTCCTTCCAGACATTCCTGTTGACAAGCCACATGGAGCTACACTGATGGAGCCAGAGCCCTGGAGCTGGAGGAGCCATGTAGAGACCCAAGCCAGTGCTGAGATGCTTCCACAAGACTTTTCACCCACTGGCCTGTGATCTTCCTGCTTTCTATATCATTGCAAGTGCTGCGTGAATCTGTAGAAGAATTCATGGACTAGTATCAGACATATGGGCTAATATCAGACTTATGGACTTGATCTGGGCTAGGCCGGGATGTTTCCTTAATATACAATGACTCTTTATATATACACACACGAGTGTCTCCCTGGATTTGTTTCTCTAGTCAACCCGGACTAACACACCACTCCCTTGCAAAGTACCTGTAACTTCTCTGTAACCTCACCTAGCAGAGCCACAACCTTAATTAAACCAGATGTCATTTTGTTCCAGGCCTGCGTCTGAGCAAGCGTCACTTGCACATAACTGTCCTGTCTGGATTCCCTTCAAAATTACCTCAGCCCTTTCCAGTGATTTCTTCATATGACCAGAAAACTTGGCTCCCCCTGGCGTAGGCTCCTCAAGAGGTTATCTGTCCTCAAATCTCCCACACCCACTCCTCACTGCACTCTCAGCCAAGAGTGAGACCACCAAAACCGGCTCATGAAAGTGGCTGCAAGCAGCTGGCACCACCTCCTCCTCTGGCCTAATCCTCTAACCCCCTGAGTCAACCCAGTGCCTCGCCCCAGAGAGTTGTGGTTGGCTACTCTGCCCAAAGCAGCCTCTTCCCACCATTCTCTCTCATGCTACCTGAATTTTTCTTCAGCATACCAGGTCTCGGTACTGGGAACTGTCTATTGAGTTATTCAGCATGAGCTTATGAGAGTGTCAACTCCTGACTCACGGTGGCATTCCCAGCACCTGGAATACTAGATGCTCAGTAAACACCTGCTGACTAGGTCAGAGCCCCACCCCACCCCACTCACCCCACCCCAAAAGAAAAAACATTTTCACCACGCTGAAAACTGAGGTGGTAATCAGTAAACCAGATAGGCATGGAGTGGAAGCTGGAATTTCCCATGTGCCTTAACTCTAGATTTACTTTCTGAATGAAGAATCTTTGGCACCCACAAATCCCTCCTTCACATGCAGATGAGAAACACAAACCTGTGAGAATATGCTCTGAGCTCCTTGGACCGATTCCTTACTTTCTAAATCAAACCTTGGCAACGCTGACAAATGATCTCCTAGTGCACGCAGTCAATAACTGCCAGCAAGGCTCCTAAAAGTGTTCATTGTCTCTTACCTCTCATTTTTTAATTTTTATTTTTATTTCCCATTATTGAACTAAAATGAACACATCATGCAATTCAATAGCCCAAGCATACCGAGAAGGGTTGCACAATGAACTATGGAACATTTTCTTCCTTCTTGTGCCCACGGTTGACTCCCTCCCCCACACCCCACCTCCTCCCATGCCCCCAGGGAATTGTAATTTCATCTACTGTCTTCATGAATCCTGGTTTCCCTATAGAAACATAACACAAAGACAAGGAAAGGGGGGGGACCCAGCAACAATGATGATATAAAACAGTGAAATACCTCAAGCCAAGAAAAAGCAGACAATATTAATATTTGGAGATCAACTGAAAATGGGTCCAAAGGGAGAGGTAATGGTGCTACATCCCAGTCTAAGTGCAGTTACTGAGAAACTCTGTACAATGCTCTTTGTCTGATATTGGGGCTGTTCACATTCCTAGTTTGTGGGCAGTGAGGATTCACTGGGAGCTCATTCCATGTAGGGACCCTGCAAAATGGATTTGGACTTCCACTATCAACCATAGTGTTTCAAAAACCAAGTATTTAGAATTTAGGCACTGGTACTATTCCCTCCTCCAAGTTTGGATCTTGTTGTTTACAATCCTTGGATCACACAGACCAGTGTGCTTTTTCTCTGTGAACTAAGCTGACTCCTCAATTAGATGGCTGCTTGCTTAGTGTAATGGTTACACGCTGCAATCCATATGGTTGGCAGTTCAAAACCACCACCAGCAACTAAAGATAAAGACTGGGCTTTCTACTCCTGTAAACAGTTACAATCATGGAAACCCACAGGAAGTCACTAATGAGGCAGCATTGACTCAGTGGGCAGTGAATTTTATTTTGTTTTGAAAGAAGCCTTTTAGATCCCAGATGCTTGCTATTTTTCCTGATAGCTGGCCATCACTTGATTTCTTCACACCCTGTGCTGTGACACTCATATCTTCAGTGATCTCCTCCTGAGGGCAGTGTCATGTCAAAAGAACTAATTGTTCTTATGTTAGGGCTATAATCAAGTGAGAACTCACAATGAATTCATATAATTACGGTTTCTATAAGTCCCTGGTCCACAAACCTTTCTTTATAATGTGCCATGGCTACTTTGCTAGAATAGCTAAAGAGAAACAACTGAGCTTGTTAGAACTTGATGTAAACTAAGTCGGTCGTCTCTGAGTGGGGGCTGGAGCATCTGTTGCTGTTTCTGAACTGTTCCAGTTGGAAGAAGATACTGGACTGAGTTCATCAGAACTGTTACCCTGAAAGGGGGTGGTCTGAACCCACCAGTGACACAGTGGAAGCAAAACCCCGGTGAGCTGCTTCTCTTCAGATTACAGCCACGAAAACCCTCCGTGCTCTGTAAAGCCCTGGGTCACCATGAGTCAGCACTGACTGGGCGGCAACTAGCAACAGCAACACCATCAGCTATTGGAAGGCACTTCTGTAATAAAGCGAAACAAGTGCTGAAGTCATAGCAGGGGCACATCAATAATCTGTGTTATCACAACCATGTGTGACTTGATTGAAAATGAATGGCCCTGGGTGGGGGAGCGAAGGGGCAAAAATGAGGAGCTGATACCAAGGGCTCCAGGAGAAAGACAATGTTTTGAAGAAGATGATGGCAACATATGTACAAATGTGCTTGACACATGGATGCATGGATTGTGAGAAGACCTGCACGAGCCCCCAATACAATGATTTTTAAAAACAAAGAAAATGAATGACCCTGGCTTCTCATCCCAGATAAGACTGTCCCATAAATATTAGTATTGACATTAATATTGAGATGAGTATGTCCAGATACATATAATCTTTAGGGTGCTTTAGTTTAGTTGTTCCACAAGAACAAAATAAAGAAAAAGTAGGTCATCTCCAGGGGAGGGCTTTCAACAAATTTCTGGAGGACAAAAAGCAGATGGTGTCTGGAGACCAATGTGAAAGGACAGAGAGCCCCCACCTAGATTTCAGGCAGTGGGCTCTGAAGCCAAGGAGACCACCATCTATCTGATAGAGTCCAAAAAATCCCAGGGACTCAGGCGGAAGACAGGTGGACAGAGAGAAGCTCAAACCAAAGGCAATCATTACAAGTCTCCATGGGAACAGCTGCCCCAGCTCCACCCTCTCTCACACTCCCCTGGGAGTGGTCTGTCACCCTCAACCCAGTATCACTGTACAGGGTCTTCCCTAGAGGCACTGCCCAGCCTCTGAAGGCTTGTCCTGGGCAGCCCCAAAGCTGCAGCTGCTCCCACAGAAAAGCCCTTCACACTTGGCCATGGAGGGGACCGCGGCACAACATAACCCACTCACACTTCGCCCTCAGATCACTGTCCACGCAGTGTCCCAAGAGACAAGATGCTGCAGAGCCTGTAGATGATGCAACATCCTGGCATACTGCTTATTCAGTGGTGAAAATACAGAGCTGATCAGGAGTGAACCCCCTTAAAGAGGTTCAACTTTGAGCATCACCTTATAAACCAGTGGTTCTCATGTTATGGTGACCCCCCCAACCATAAAATTATTTTCGTTGCTACTTCATCACTGTCATTTGCTACTGTTATGAATCGGGTGACCCCTGTGAAAGGGTCGCTTAACCAACAAAGGGATCGTGACCCACAGGTTGAGAACCGCTGTTATAAACAAATCTTAGAAACTCAGCTGGGCCTGTGAACCTCAATGAATAGTTTATCAACTTGGAGATAATGTCAAAAGGCAGCTGGAAGGAAGGAGAATGCAGGCAAGGAAAGAGGGTGGGACTACCCTTACTGTGCAAAGCAGAATTCCAGAGACTCAACCAATGGTCTCTGGAACAAGAAGTCAGGCTTTCATAAAGGTTTTAAGGACTCAGGAGGAAAGTTGCTTCAGCAGCACCTATACTAAAATTGCAACGATACAGAGGAGATTCGCATGGCTCCTGAGCCAAGGACGACACACAAATTCATGAGGCATTCCATATTTTAAAAAATAATAAAGAAATTAAAGACTCTGGAGGAGGTGCAGGGGTGAGTGGCTAAAAGGAAGACTGAGGATGCGAAGTCATGGCCTCCACTTCCACAGCAGGAAGTCACTAGAGGGGGGTGGGTGGTGATAAATTCAGAAACTCCAATGGATGCATGCTGTGCATTATATTCATATTCCATTGTGCGAGTATTATGCTTATTAGGTTGAGAGAGAGACATAACTCCAGCAGAACAAGAAATAACTAGCTGAAGTGGGGGGCCTGGAGATCAGGAATTAGGATGGGGCACGGTCTGTTGTTTTTTAGGGTAGAAGTCCTATTTGATTTGCAAGTGTCTCCAGCTTAGGACGAGTTTCCTTATCTCAACTCCACAGCTTGGTCAGTTGACGATTTCTTTTTTGTTAAGTTTTCATTATCCTTACATTTCATTGTCAGTCTCTTTAGAAACCCAGTCTATATTTGTCTGGGGGGTTGGAAACATGGCAAATACACTTACAGCGTCAACATCCACCTGCTTCCTACTCCTCCAGTTACATGCATGTTATGTAAGCAAAACAAACCAAAACAACCCTCACACGCGGACAACTGTAAGTGCAGTTGTAAGAACCAATAGCAACTGCAGTCCGTCCTGAGACCTTCACTAGGCCTGCATTAGCTATGCATATGCATGCCCTGCGAAAGCATGGCCAAGAGAATGAAACACCTGCACAAAACGCTGGTCGCTGTTTTGAAGTAAGAGAAAAGGCGTCCTGGGCACAGCAGGTTGGGAGCAGGCAACAAGCGGGTTAAGCTGGATGCTGCATAGCTATGGTAACAGATGTAGCTAATTTAGGATGCAAGTGAGGGTTTGGGAAGGCTCGGAGAGAAACGTGGTGTTAAGAGGGGGAAGGGAGGAGCATACATTCCAAATAAAGGAACGCTGAGATAGTCAGTCTGGATGCTCTGCCATCTGACACAGGCAAGGGGGAAAGCACGGAGCCCGCCCTCACTCTTCCTGCTGCTTCTCACCAGAGATTTCCAAAAGTCAAAGCCAAGGGATGCTTAAGTCGCCTCCAGGCCGCACCCAGAAAGCAAGCAGGCAGTTCACAAAATAACACGGGCGGAAAATCACGTCCACTGTTCCATGATAGTCTGTCTGTATTTTAAAAAGCCCAGGGCATGACAAAGTTGGAGAACTGCATGGGTTCTTGGAGAAAAGCAATTTATAAATGACGTTTGAATGCACTTGTATTGACTTTCCTGTCAAGAGAATGATTCACATGTGAGCACAAGCCTTTAACCACCCCTTCCAAAATGCTGCTGAGAAATTACCGAAGGAACCTAAAGATAAGAACAAATCTACATGGCTTCCGGTGACCCTGGAAGCCGCCGTCCAGGGACAGAGATTGTGGGAACACCACAGCTTGGTAACATCAGTTCTTCCCATCCCTGAACATGATGCTCTATTTTTTGAGTAAAAATGACTCTCTGTAAAAACAGTCCAGTCCACCCAGATTTTCTCATATGCTAGCCCTGGTGCATAGTGGGTTATGAGTTGGGCTACTAACACCAAGGTCAGCAGTTCGAAACCACCAGCTGCTCCTCAGGAGAAAGATAAAATGTTATACTCCTTTACAGAATTCTAGTCTTATTTAGAGAGGTATAAATATGGGCATGTACGTATGTAAGTATATTCATATATAATGATAGGAACATTGGGCCTCTACTCAAGTCCTCCCTCAATGCAAGAACACTTTGTTCTAGTAACCTGGCATTCTGTGATGCTCACCTTCCCGACACGATCACTGAAGACAAAATGGGTGCATAAGTTAATGTGGTGAAGAAAGCTGATAGTGCCCTGTTTCAAAAGATACAGCATGTGGGGTCTTAAAGGCTTAAAGTTAAACAAGCAGTCATCTAGCAGGGAAGCAACAAAGCCCACATGGAAGAAGCAACCAACCCGTGTGGTCATGTGGTGTGGACAGGATCAGGTATCAGGCATCAGAAGACCCAAAATGAACAATCATAACAATGCGAGTGAAGGGGGCCAGAGTGGAGACCTAAAGCCCTCTGCAGACAGTTGAACATCCCCTCGCAGAAGGGTCACAAGGAAGGGACAGCCAGTCAGGGTGCAGTATAGCACCAATGAAACATACATTCCTCTAGTTCTTTAATGCTCCCCCCCCCAGCCCCCTACTGTCATGACCCCAGTTCTATCTTACAAGTCTGGCTAGACCAGAGCATGTGCACCGGTATAGATAAGAGCTCTCGACACACAGAATCCAGAAGAGATAAACCCCTCAGGACCAATAATGAGAGTAGTGATACTATGAGGGTAGGAGAAACCTTGGGGGAGGGGACAAAAGGGGGAACTGATCACAATGATCAACATACAACCCCCACCCAGAGAGATGAGCAACAAAAACGCAGGTGAAACAGCAGATGGTGTAAAATATGAAAATAAAAATAATTCATAAATTATCAGGGGTTCACGAGGGTGGGAGGAGTGGGGGAGGGAAGGGAAGGGAAGGGAAAAAAGAGGAGCTGATACCAAGTGCTCAAGTAGAAAGAAAATGTTTTGGAAATGATGATGGCAACATATGTACAAATGTGCTTGATATAGTTGATGTATGGATTGTTCTAAGAGCCCACAATAAAAGGATTTATTAAAAAAAATTTTAAGTTCCAGTCTCTCTTAAAAAAAGAGAGAGAATTCCAGTCTTGGAAGCCCACAGGGCAGTTTTACCCTCTCCTACAGGGTTGTTATGAGTCAGAATCGCTCAATGGCAGTGAGGTTTTCAAACAACGCAATGATGCATCATGTTCTAATGATTTCAATCTCTTCCTCGCTCCCTCTGCTCCATATGCCCTTCCAATATCATTGGGGTGTTTGTTTCCTAGGGCAATTAGGCTTGCTAGAAGTTTGCCTATTGGGTTGGCTTTCTAAAAGAACGAGCTTGCCAGAAGAGATGTGGGAGAAGGGCCTGTGGGTGGAGGGAAGGGCCCACATAAAGGTCCAGAGGCAGGGCGCTTGTTCCCAGAGAAGTGTGGTTTCACCTGGCTAGGGGAGGGTCACAGAGCAGAAAGGCAGTAAGAAGTGTGAAGTGTGGGCTTTATCCCGAAGGGAGAGAAGGGACAGGTTTGGGTTTTCATTATAATGATTACGGTGAAATTCGCTTAACAGTAGTCATTGTCAAGTTCACAATTTGTTGGCATTCAGGATGGTGTGCCACTACCACCTCTATCAAGGTCTCAAACATTTTCATCCCACCCACCCCCACAAAGAAAGCCCATGCTCATTAGCAATCATTCCCCATCTGCCCCCTCTCCCTAACTCCTGGAGAGCCACTAATCGAATATCCTTCTCGGTGGATTTGCAAAGTCTCACCTTCGTCTCATTTTGTCATGCGTGTTTGGGACATGTGGTCAGGCGAGACCAGTCCCTGGAGAAGGGCCTCCTGTTTGGGAAGGCAGAGGCGAAAAGAGAAAGAGGAAGGCCCTCAAAGAGGTGGACCGACAGACACTCCGGCTACCACAATGGGCTCAGTCATGGGAACGATGGTGAGGATGGTGCAGGACCAGGCTGCGCTTTGTTCTGTGTGTTGTTGTTTTTTTGGTCTGTTGTGCATAAGCTTGCTGTGGGGCACAGTCAGCCTGATGGTACTTAACAACAACAACCCTGAATTCACAGAGTCTGGCTATGTCACACGGAGGGGATCATACAAATCACCGTTTGTGCCCGACATCCTTCTCTGGGCATCAGGTTCTCAAGAGTCATCCCCGAGGTAGCACATCTAAGAACGTCAAGAAGAGGTTTGAGTTTTGTTTCAGAAAGACCACTCTGCAGGGGGCTAGGGAGGTGAGGCTAGAGCAGAGTGGAGGATTGAGAGGCACAGGAGCGGTTCTGATTCTGGCCCAGTGCAGTGTGGGTGTAGGCCGTGGAAACCCAAGCAAACTCGCCCAGGCAAAATGGAGGGGCGACCTCAGGGACATAGGGAGCCAAGACCAGCTGCGCTTCATGAAAGCTAGAACTAAAATCAAGGTGGCCACCTCAAGGCACCCAAGCGGCTTCTCAAACTGACCAGCGAGCAGAGGGGAGGACTGGCCCATGATTTCACTCCAGTGTCATCTTTTTTGTCCCTCTCTCACCGTGGCCCGCTCCTCATGGTGTACACAGCCTAATATGGTCAGCAGCCCTGAGATAACCGAGTTTCACAAGTTCATGTCAGATTCAATCAGCTGTCTGTCACAGTGTGAGGACTGGGGTGGAAGATGTCAAACGGTTCTTAGAGCTTCCGCAGGTAGAAGCCACAGGAGTTTGCTACTTGGCTTGGTAAGATTTTCTTAGCCTCTTTGAGGTTAGACACAGGAGGAGACTTGTCCAGATATCACCAGGAGCACTGAGATCTGTTTCCTGACAACTGTGTCCTAGCCTGCCAGCTCCGGGACCTCCTGGGGGTTTTCGGGGTGAGGTCCTGTGACAGATGAAACACACGAGTGTTTCCTTGAGGAAATCGAAGAGGAATTGAAGAACCGATAGATGATGATCAAAGACTACAGCCTTTAGTAAGGATTCCAACTCAATGTTAAAAAAAAAAATCCTCACCACTGACCAACAGATAACGTGAGAAATGGGGGAAAGGTTGAAGCTGTCAGGGATCTCCCTTTGCTGGGATCCACCACCAATGCTGATGCAAGCAAGAGTCAAGAAATAAAAAGATACATTACATTAGGTTCAATGTACTGTACAAGACCTTGCAAAGCATGAGCAAGGCAGTGAGGCTGCACTTTCCCATGAGTGCTTTGTTGGACATTTTGTTTAAGTTTGGTTTGGTTTGGTTTTCGTAAAGTAGTCCTTAAAAGGGTTGTGGTTGTTAGATGCCATCAAGTTAGTTCCGACCCTTTGCGACCCTATGCATGCAGAACAAAACACTGTTCCATCTGTGCCATGCTCACAATTGTTCCTAGGTCTGAGCCCATTGTTCCAGCCACGGTGCCAACCCACCTCCCTGAGGGCCGTCC